CCCCCCCCCCAAAGAAACGTCTCTGTTGGGGAATGCTAAAGGAACTGAACTCCTGAAGCAGAAATGTATTTCCTGATTTCACAGCACTTGTAATCCTCTGTCTGTAGTGTTAAATCTAATATCCTAGCAAGCAGTGAGAAAACCTGTTGTGTACTATTGCAGCATGGCCACCAGCAAATGATCTCGTCCAGTATTCACTTTCCATTTTCTTAGGGTCAGCTTCAGCCAGCTCACATGGTAAAAGATCTGTTCTGGCTGCATGAGGTTAAAAACTTTGGTTTTAAAACTATACAGTGTAAAGCTTAAAACACCTATACAGAAATACCCATTCCCTCCCCCTCTCAGATTAACTCTGATTATTCACTAATGCTTAATGTAGTTTTGCTAGGGTTGCTTTTTGGGGGATGGGGATACTTTTCTATCCAAACATAAAGCCAGGTAGCGTATTCCGGTAGGGAAATTGCTCTGCCTGACACGGTTAGTGTACATCAAGGTGTCTCCTTCCCTGTGAGTATTAATCCAGGTTGCTGTTGGTGCTCCCTCATGATTATTTTGGGGACTCAGCTTGAAAGCCAGCTGGCTAGGTCAGTGGGCAGAGGCTCAGTTAAGACTTTCTGGAGGAGCTTGTGAGGTTGTTAGATGGAGCCCAGCCTTAGAGCTGTGAGCATGTGCTGACTTTCACTTTGAGCCTGTCTCTCCGGGGCTCCTCCGGTAGCTGGGAATCTCCGGTGCAGTTTGCCAAGGGCAAAATTGCCAGGCGCTGCAGGAGGAAAAAGATCATTTATTCTTCTGGCAAGCAGGGCAGAGGCATCACGGCTTTTAACCCATTGCACTTGCGCTCCATAAGCGCTTTGTCCCCTTCCTTTCAGGGTTGTGGTTTTTTTTTTCTGGTTCATCTGATTTCTCGCTGGGGATTTTCAGATGATGTAATAACCTTGGTGGGGAGGATGAGAGCCGGGGCTCTCGGGCTCAGTGTGGTTGCCATCTGCCGGTCCCCGGGAGGCCTGCACCGCTTGGCTGAAGAGGAGGAGGAGGAGTGACGGTGTCACTTGCTGCACGGACTCCGGTGCAACCAGTGCTGACAGCAGGGCAGTAGCAAAGCAGCAAATAACTCATTTTCTGCTGACAACGTTTTGTCTTGCGTTTTTCCCCTCCCTCTGACCTGTCCCCTCCTTCCACAGATGTGTGGGCTGCTGGGATGGAATGCATTTTCAGGAGAAAGCAAAAAATTAACAGAGAAGAGGCCATTTTCCCAAAGTCAGACCACCTCATCACAGTGATATTGCAGCCTTGCTGGCAGTGTCCTTAAAGGACTGGCTTGGCCCCAGAACAGAGGTTCTTTGGGACATGTCTCCACAAACCAGTAGTGGTGGCCGAAGAGCTGCCATCACGCTGTGACAGCCCTCCCTTAGCAAATGGATGGGGCTAAACCAGAGCTTAACGATCAAGGTACTTGAAATGCAGCTGTCCTGGCTTTTTCCTGAGAGTCAAGTTTCCCCTATTAATAACAGCCGACTCCAGCCCATGTTCTGCCAGTTCTCTCTCTCTCCCGTTTGCCTGCCTGGATCTGCTGGGGCTTTCCAGTCCCTGCAATTGGTGCGGAAATACTGGGGAGGAGTTCAGATATCAGCTGCTGAGACTACCGACAGGGCTTGAATCTCTGCCACTTGCCCCCTGAGATTATCTAGATGCAGTTTCTAAATCCCATGGCAGCTCCTAATTGCCTCCACATCCCCCCTGCAGGCGCAGAGCGAGGAGCTTTATTCCTTGTGCAGGGCCTGGGAGGGTTCATCTCTGCTCAGGGTTGCTTCAGAGTCCTTGTGAAAACGTCACGTGAGCTTGAGAGATATGGGGGAGGGATGTTTGTACTACTGGTGCTCATCTTAGTGCTTTTAACTCCTGGCTGTTGCAGTGTGAGCTTGCATCAGGCTGTGTCCTGCTGGTGATGGTCCGCCAGTCTGTACTGAGGGAGAGCAGATGGGTGGCATGTCAAACCACAAATGCTGGTGCGTAGTGACCTTATGGGTGTAGCTGGAGAAGACCAATTCATGTCTCGGTAGTTCTCCTGTTAACCCTAAAGGTTTTCATGCTTTTTTGAACTAGGATTTCGGCCCTCAGGCATATAAAGGAGAGCTGGGTCTTGGAGGAGACTTAGGCAGCAGTATTTGGTGATCAAATCTGAAGTTTGAAGCTACGAGTATGAAAGGAAGGCTTATTTGTGGGACTCCTGAGGCTGGTGCTAGTTAATGGTTTTTATAGTCTACCTTTGCTTATCTGCACAAAAAATACACTGAATAATCTCATTAGTGTTCTGTCTTTTGGCTAAGGTCAGGAGTGCACATCTGTATGGGATTAGGGAGAAACGAAGCTTGAGGAATGTGAGCAAAAGTAGGGTCTGCCAAATTTCACAGCAGTACAGCATGCTTGTGCTTGTTGTGAAACGGCAGGATTAAATAGGGACAGGTACTCTGGATTGCCATGTTCTCTGGTATGCACAGAAACTTCAGGCTCAAAATGCATCAGTTTTCCAGATAATTACCCGTGAGTTTGCCTGCTCGCAGGTGGCTGCGTGATCCGTCCCCTGCCTGGGGATCTCCCGGCTGAGCAGCAGTGCTTCTGCTCTTTGAGCCTCTGAAGTGTGCTCGCTTACACAGCTTCCGTTAGGTGACTGAGGTGCCGCGTCAGGCAGATTAACGTCACGCAGTACTTGGCTGGCTTTTGGCTTGACCTGAAATTGAGGATTTAAGCTGAATTTCTCTCTTCCAGCCCATCCCTCTGTAGATTTGATGTGCTGAGATATCTGATTCTTGGAAGTCAGATCTGAGGTAGCAGAATTGAGTGTGGCAGTACACGAGATACCTTCAGTGGTAAAGACGCATGGTTTTTCTGACAAAGGCTTCGTTCTCCTGCCAGCTTATACTGTGAATCGTGTAAGAATGTGCTTCTCTTAACGAGCTTCAGATTAGAAATGTTGGGTCCTAACATTGCAGGTCCCTCCCGAACACAAGGAAGGCATACGCAGGCCTGGGTTTTATAGGCAGTCAATGCCTGTATGTTTGTCAAGGACTGTTCTTATCGGGGGACTGGGAGAGGATTATGGTACCGCATCTTTCTGGTGCATAATTTAGTTAATTTGAATGCCATGTTTTGTATCCCCCTGCAGATGTGCCGACGAGTCTGCACTTCCAGAGCATGTTGAAATCTCAGTGGCAGAACAAACCCTATGAGAAAATTAAACCTCCCAAAAAGCTCTCACTCAAGCACAGAGCCCCCATGCCTACCAGCAGCCTATCTGACCCTGCTCGCAAGGACCGCCACAAGCTGGTGAATTCGTTCTTCACTGCAGCCAGTAAGTGTCTTCCCTGCCTCCGCCACGTACAGAAACATTGCCCAGCCTTGTACCCGACAGCCGTGCAATCTGGGAGGAGAGAGGAGGAGGATAACCTTCAAATTCAGCTCTTGGGGATAAGGCCATGGTATTGCAGGCCAGGGCTGAAGGTGAAGTCTGTGCACGTTGTGCAGTTCAGGCTGGTCTCAGTTCGTAGGGACCTCTTCTTGGTCAGTCTGAGGCTGTGCTCACACTGGCACGGGCAGTACTACAGCTCCTTCTGCTCTGAGCACATCTCTCCAGCGCCCTGATGGTGTTGAGCTTGACCTGTCTGGATTTATGGAGCTGGTAAACTCTGCCCGAGTCTCCTGTGCCAACAGAAAGAGAGGTGAAAACAGGTGTTTCATAGCTCTTTCTCTGTTCCCCTCCTCAGAGCGCTCACATCAAAAAATCCAACCAGACAAGGCACACAGGCCGCCTTTAGACGATTTTACGGCCGTGTCCAAGGCCGAGAGAGCGCCAGAGCGCTCGCTTGTCCAGCCTCCTGCCTATGACAAAAAGCGATTGCGAGACTGCTCATCTGAGAGGAGTGAAGGTAGGCTCCCACAGCCAGGTCTCTCGGGGGGAGCTTGGGCTTTGCTGCATATCCAGCCTCTCTCCCCCTTTGGCATCGTAGAAGGGGGAACGCACTGCTTCTGGACCTTGTCGCCACCGCAGCAATGCCTTGTGTGCTCTAACTGCTTCTTCCCCCAGGGCCTCTCAGGCTGGCAGCCACCATCAGAAGGTGCTTCTCTTTCATGCAAAGTGCTCCTCAGCACTGGCCATTGCTGGTGCACATGGTCCTTTTCTATCCACCACCACCCCCCTTTGGTTTTTTTGCTAATGTCTGTCTTCATTTTCTCCCACCCTCCATGTGTAGTGTTGAAGCATCACACAGATGTCGGTGGCCCAAGCTACTTGTCAGCAGCTGCGACCCCCACACCTCACAGCCCTATAGCGCGGCAGCTGTCCGCCTCCTCAGAAGGCTCCGCTCCTACCAGCATGAGTTCACAGGGCACCTCCAGCACAGCCGTAAGTACCTAGTGCCTTTCTGGAGAGGTTTCTGAGCTCAGCTCCATCATGGGGTCTCAGCTTTTGAGCAGTTCAGGCATCTTAGGCTTCAGAGTGCTTAGGATTTCTCTTACATGCTGGACCTGTTGTTTCAGCTGATGGTAGGGTTGCTGGCCCTCTTTTTTACTCTTAACTTTGGGTCTGCTGGGGTTACTGGATTGACGCTGGCTGTGCAGAGTGCCAGTCAGCTTCAATTACATGTTCCCTGTCAGCTCAGTAACTGCTGGTAAATGTTCCTGTTCTCAGTAGTCCCCTGGCTTTGCTCCACATCTGGGTTTCGGTTTCTGAAGTTGCCTGGGGATGCCAGGAAGAGGAGTAGAAGAGCTGAGCACCAGCAGTGCGCTGCTGCTGGTACAATGGTGCTTCCACTGAGACAGCTTTCCCTTCATGGCCTTGGTGGCACTGGGCTGTAAATAGGGTTGTGGCTGAATCACAGGGCAGTGGCACAACAGCGGTGGTTGAGATCTTAACTTTCGCCTATACACGAGCTTCAGCAGTTGCTTAACTCCTACTGTCTTCTGAGACACGCTCAGCCTCCCAAAGTGCTAAAGGATGATAGGATTCGGGACATGTATGTAGCTGTGTCTAAAAGCTGTCAGTGAGCAGGACCATAGCTCCCTCCCACTGTGCTTTGGGACAGGTCAATGACACAGTCATCATCCATCCTCCGAGCACCTGACCCATGTTAACAGAAGCCCTTGATTAAAGGACCGAATTCTGCTGAACTCTTAAGTGTCCCAGTGGCCTCTGTCTGGCCATTCCAGTTGGTATTTTGTGGCACAGCCTAAGCTGGGATGTGACCCAGGGATAACGGAGCAGGTCTGCTCAAACCCTGGTAGTTAAACTAGGGTGGTTAAGAGGCATCAACCTTGTGTGGCCTTGTCCTTGCTCCAAGCTTGTTGTTCTGGGGCTGCCAGGTCCCGGCTAGATTCTTTCACTGCGGAGTTTGCTGTTGTGTCACCAGCTGTGACATCAGTGAAGCACCCTGTGGTGGCACAGGCTGTCTGAAGAACCCAACAGGCAGTGGTAGTTTGGATTGAATGTGCTAGGTGCTTCAGAGAAGAGGACAGCTCTTCTCCACTCTAGCATGTCAGGATGACATTTCCTTGTGCTTCACGCACATATCTTGGTCTTCTCTTGCTGCTTTTTCTGCTGCTCTTTCACAAGCTCATTCAGAAAAGCAAGATGAAGTGTATTCCCTTCAGCGGCCGAGTACTGCAAGAGTATTGCGGGCGCTGGGGTCAGGTCTCTGGGCTCAAGGGTCCGGGTCCTGGGTTCAAGCATCCCAGTCTGGCGCAGGTTTGTATGTGCTCCCCAACCGGTGGGTCAAGCCTCACTGTTGACAGTGACACATCAGGATTTCCTTGCCGCCATGGTAATAGTTGCCCACCCACTCCATCCTCATCCAGCTTCACGCAGGTCCTGGGGTTTGGCTGTGGCAGGTCCCTGGCAGTTGAGTTCCCACATGTTTTTACTCTAGCCACAGGGATCAAAGGAGACGGAGAACATGGTAAATTGCAGGTGACTGTGTTAGGAAGATGGGCCATTTGCATATCAAGCTGATCCACAAGGATTCTTGTCACTGTACTGGTAGTGCTGCTGTCACAGGTTTGGGGGAGGTTTTTGGATAGACAGATGGTAGGAGAGCACCCAGCGTTCAACCACGTTTAAAGAGTTAAGTGCGGAGCTTATTTCTATCTTAGAAAATCTATTCCAGTCAAAAGCGCGATACAGATGGAAGCTGTTAGGCTCTTAGTACAGCTGTCATAACCTGAGATGAACTCCTGCCTGTCTGCTTCGCGTTCCTCCTCTGTCACAGTGTCACCTGTGGTGGGTCCATGCCGCTGCAGGGACATGAGCAGGGGGCTGTTTCCAAACAGGATGGTTCTTCCCTCTTTCCTGATGGTCTCACTACTTCCTTTGTTGGCAGTAGGGAATTGGATTATATGGGAGACTTTTCTTCTTGCTGGGTCACTTTATCAGCCGGATCGATCCCCTGCTCTGCCTGGCTGTGCAGCGGCTGGTGCCAGTGTGGAGTTGGTGGCTGGAGCTCAGCAGCCCTTGCTCACCTTGCTTCAGTGCCTGCAGGACCACTGCAGCCCTTGCCCTTGTTTGTACCCTACAGACTAAGGATTTTTGGTTGGGAAGAGGACTTCCAGCCAGCAGTAGGTGAACTCCATTGTGATGCAAATTGCTGTTGGTTCTGGAGTTTCCGCAGGTCATACGTTACTATTTCGTATGAGGCCACGTCCTTTTTCCATCAATAACTTAACATGACAAAATCTACAATCCTTTCTCACATGGTTCTTGTCTTCATGTTACAGCAGCCAAGGAGGAGGAGAGGCGAAAGTTCATTCGATATTAACAACATTGTCATCCCGATGTCCGTTGCTGCAACAACTCGTGTGGAGAAACTGCAGTACAAAGAGATCCTCACACCCAGGTACGTGCCTGATCCCCCGCTCCAGCAGGGTTGTCACGTCCCAGGCTTTTACTGTGCAACTGTCCTGTCAGACATTCAGCCCTGGCCTAGGGCTTTGCTCCCAGTGGCTGCTAGTGCTGGTGAGGAAAAGGGCTTTCTTCTTCCTTGAAAGTAGGAGAAAGTTTGGAAAACTTCTGATCATATATATCATTGATCCAGACTTGCTGAGTTAGGGAATATGTTGTCTGAGTGTCCCTCGTGCATGAAAGCCAGCTGCCCTGCCCAGGTCTCTTTGTGCAATCTAAAGTCATCCTGGCTGTCCTCTCTCCTGCTGCAAAGCTGCTGAGTATGTTGAGCCAAAGGTCCTGGTGGTTTCCCAGCTCTGCATGTGCTGGGCTGGGTGGTGGGTCCCTGGGCTGCATTAACGCTGCAGTGCAGGAGGGCCGCTGCCTTGAGTTGCACCAGCTAGGAGAAGCACTCCCATGCCTGGGCAGTGGTAGGAATCAGAAGTTTTCTCTGCCCAAGCTGAGTGCAAGGAGGTGAGCTGTTGGCCCTTGTTCTTGGATTAACACTGCGGGTCAGATCAGCTGCTGGTTTTCACACCCGAGTGCTCAGTGGGAGTGTGCTGACTTGCTGCAACACTGGTGCAGCTGCTTCATCCAAACTGTGCAGTTCCTACTCCTCCTTTTCCCTCCCAGTTCTCCAGGTCTCTTTCCCAATTTACCTCTTTCTTCCTCCTTGTCCTACATGCTCTTCCCAGGCCCTGTTCAGAGCCAGGCAGGGAGGGAGCCTGTTGCTGAGCCAGAGGAAGAGGAGGAAATGCTGCAGCATCTGCTCTGCTTCCTGTGCCCTTGGCAGGCTTCAGACACGCTGCCAGACCAGCGCCAGGAGCTGGGCAGGGAGGCAGAAGGGAAGGGCTGCAGTGGGAGGACGCTGCTAGCCTCACTCTCCATTCCCAACCCTCCCAACGTGGAAGGACGTTTCCTGCCTGTTCCCCTGCGTTGCACTCAGTGGATGTGAACCCACTGCAAAAAGATGTGCTCAAAATGGAGCAGGCTAACAGGGCAAGGAGAGAAACCGTTGTCTGATAGCACAGGAGTGATTTTGGTAGACAAATGTGACCACTTGGCTTAAAACTGAGCCTAAGTATGTTGCTCATTGTGGCAGGCTTGTATTTTTTCTTTCCCAAAAGACAGTGTTAGTGCAAGCGGGGCATGTGCTGCTGTGCTTGGCTGTGCCTGTGATTGACTGCCCTCTAATGTTGTGTGTTGCAGCTGGCGTGAAGTGGATATCAGCGCTCTGAAAGCAAACCCTGATGAAGACAATGAAGAGGTAAGAAGAGTTTTATTTCCGAGTTAATGTGGGATGGGGTTGGTAGCAGCTGAACAGCGTGCACAGGGGATGCCGGAAGGAAGTGGACACAGGGACCTCAGCAGGGAGGTGTGGGGACTCTTCCTTTTTTGCAACAAAATGGCACAACTGGCCTTGCAGAAACCAGCCTGGTGTTGGTTCCTTTTCAGGAAAGGCATGATAAGGCAGAAGTTGGATTAACTGGCTGGGTACAGCTGAATCTGAGGTCTGATTACTGTCAGGAGACCTCTCTGGGCAGCAATCTTTTTATGGAATAGGCTAATCAAGAAATCATGACCAGTCACACTGCTGTAGTTATTATTTTAGCTAAACTGATAATGATGGTATTTCCTTAAACCTCCGTGTGAGTGCTTTCATTCTGGGATCAGCGGCTTTCCTTTGGTTTTTAGTTCTTAATCTCTTCCTAAGCAGTGCAGACTCAGTTTAACAAGGTGCTCTTGTACTCACTGATGGCATCTGCCTCCCTCCAGACATAAACATTTATTTAAATTCATGCTGTAGCTAATGCTGGAAAAACTGCACGTAGATGCATGTTTAATATAAGAAAGCTCTGACCAAGCCCTGTACCATTTCCTTTCCAGATCGAGGACTTGTCTGATTCAGCCTTCGCTGCTCGGCATGGCAAGTGTGAAGAGATGGAGCGGGCACGGTGGCTTTGGAGCACGAGCATGCCCCCGCAGCGGCGGGGCAGCAGGTATGCCTGCCACAGTTCCTCAGCGCTGCCTAGGTGCACCAGCAGCGTTTGGATGCAAAGAGGGTGCGGTGGGTTTCTCTTGGCCTGCTCAAGGTGGTGTTCCTGACAGAGTGGGATGCTCTTGGGAGCAGGCTGCGGAGGCTTTATTAGATTGGCTGGTCCATGAAAATGGTTAAAAGCTTGTGCTGGTATTGGAAAGTTTGATCACCATCCACAAGAGCAGCTTGAGGAGCCCTTCTAGGAGTGGGGCGTAGTCTTGCTTAGGTAGGGGTAAAGGTACACACCCGTTAAGTTGTGGACAACCAACTCTTGCACTGTCTGCTTGGATTCTGCTTTCCCAAGCACTTTTCACCACTCTAGAAGTGTGGAGGCTGGTGCACCAGCTTGGGAATCCGGAGAAAAATGAAAGGGCTGAGCTGGGCATCCTTCATGCAGGAACAAGGAACAGTGGTTGTTCTCAGTGTTATGCTGTCTATTGCATCTTTGCTCGATTGCTTCAGCAATGTCGTTCCTCTGCTCCATTTACATCTGTGTCCTTACCTTCCTCTGATCACTTGACACTTGATGCCCTTTCTGCAGTGTCTTTTTGTGAGTGGGTGTCTAAAACTGCACACAGTTGCCAGCTGTTGATCTCATAAACCTGCATAAGAAGAGATTTGCTCTTCTCCATTTGATTGCCGATGCTTTGGTTTTGAACCACTCTGCTCTTGGGCAGAAATGTGTGCTGACCTACAACTGCACACAAACATACACCCAGTCGTCTTAGTCTGGTTGTGGTTTCAGTTTAGCCCTGTCAGGAGTGCGCGATCGTGCAAGGTTGTTTCTGCAAGAACTTCTGCAAATGCAAAGGTAGCATTTGTCAGATTCCATTTGTGCTGCTGCTGCCTCGTTCATCTGCAGCTGCGTTTCCCAGTGCCGGTGGTGTGTGGGACATTTTGGTGTTTCGTTGCAAACTTCTTCAGCCAGTTTCTCACATCTGATAGCACTTCACCATAACTTTGTTTCTCTAAAAGACCCTCTCGTAAGGATGCTGGTGAAAGGTGCTGTGTTGAGGTCCTGGCTTGGTCATTGAGGTGAATTCAAACTTCACCTCATAGGTTTAGAAATGCTGGTGGGAAAGGACTTCCAGAGGTCTTTGGTCCAGCCTCCTGCAGGACTGCTGCCAGCAGAAGACCAGGTTGGCCATGGCCTTGTCTGGCCATGGCGTGAACACTTCTAAGGATGGAGATTCCCCCAGAGCTGGTGCCAGTATTCCGGTGCAGCTCCCCAGCAGGGAGAGATGGGGATGTAAGTGTCCCTGCTCCACTGGCCACGTTCCTCAGCACAACCCAGGACGTGGTTTGCTGCGTTTGTGCTGAGAGTGGCTTGGCCGAGTTCAGCCTGGCAGTCGCCATGTCCTGAGCTCCTCCTCAGCAGGATCTTTGCTTGGTCCCTCAGTTCCCAGCCTGGGCTGATGCAGGGGTTGTTCTCTGTGGCTGCTTTAGTCTGTCTTTAGAAATGGTTGGAGCCCCTCATGGCCTGGTAACTTCTTGTGGCTGGGATTCAGCCAGTACTTTGCTCCTTGCCTGCGGAGTACCTGGGCCAATAATAGCCAGTAAACACTGGGGTAAACTCACTTAGTTTTCCTTAAATGTCATTCTCTTTGTGACCTGCTCCAGCAGATCTGCTGAGTGTCTTGTGGTCTACCTGCCTCATGTATGTAACAGATTGGTTTGTTTTTTTCCTGTAGCAGCTTTTTAAATTGTATCTTGACTCAGCATGTTGACTCCATCTAGCTTGCTGCAAGTGTGGCTGTTTTATTAGTCTAATTGGGGCTGGGTTTGTATGTTCTGATGAATGCTTTGGCCAAGGTAGATTTTGGAATCAGATCCTTGGCAGTCCTTGATTGACGCTTGCTGTTGTAGTTCATCTTGAAGAGTTGCACGCAGATGTGGGGACTCCAGTTAGGTTTCTCTGTTTGCAGCCTGTGGGTGTTTTATCTGGGAATCTGTGTAGGTGCTCAAACTTTCTTAATTCTTGGTTTAAACCTTCTGAAGTCTAGGGGTTTTACAGTGCTCCTCCTACGCCCAACTGTTGAACTTGCTGCATTTTCAGCATTACTGGTTCATTACGCTTGGTTCTTGAGCTGCCTGGTGTCACATGGCATGTGGATGGTGGAAACACTTGGAGAAACTGATTTTGAAGTGTCTGGTTTCATGGGGTGGCTTCTCATTGTGGTATTTATGCAGCACTCACAGCATAGGAGACATGTGGGACATGTAACCTTAGGAGAGCAGTGTCAGTGTTGCAAAGCTGCATCGAGACAGTGGAGATGGGACAAAGATGAGCTTGGATGAGTTTAGCCTCTGGGCTGTGGCATTGCCTGCTTGTGCGTGCACCAAATCCCCACAGCATTCCCCATCGTACGGCTGCTCCCGAGGAGGGGGTGGTGGAAGGCATCATAGGGTGGTGGCGTCGGGTGGCAGCGAGTGGCCTGGGCCCCTGTATCAGTGGGAGTGCAGCTGGGACTGAAACCAGGCTCTCAAATGTGTTCCTGTCTCAGGTCTTACAGATCGACAGACGGACGGACGACTCCTCAGCTGGGGAACCCGTCGACTCCCCAGCCAGCATCCCCTGACGTGGGCAACTGCCACTCCCATTTGGAGCTGTCCCACACCCACTCACCACGCAGCCCCATCAGCCCCGAACTGCTCTCTGCCCCCCTCACCCCCCTCTCCCGTGACTCCATGCGGCTTCTGTCCAGTGAGGACACCCGTTGCTCCACGCCTGAGGCCAGCCTTGATGAGCAGGTGGGTGCTGGCTCTGGTTGTGGCCATTTCCTCTAGTTCTGTTTTGGAGGCTGGTGGGAGGGTCTGGGTGCTGCCTGTTGCTGTGTCACTGTAGTGACTGCTGCAGATGGGTATAAAGGTAAATCTGATGCTCAAACTTGGCTGTTTTATTCCCCTCGCTGTGGGGAAACAGCTTGGAAACCAGCGTGTGGGAAGTTCTGTGCAAACGCTTGGCCGGATGGGGTGTAGAGTGTGGTGCCGTTTGGCATCAGCAGCAGGATGCTTTTCCAGTGGTTGGTTCAGTTTGGAGGCTGCTGCGTCCTCGCCGCACGTGCTAAAGCTTTCCGTGCACTGTTAATGAGGCTAGGCTAAGCCCGTGGCTGGCATGGCACCGGGGAGCTGCCTGCTCTGACCGCTGCTGTGGGCAGCCAGGGTCATGCATGGAGGGGAAGCGGAAGAGCTTTTCCAGAGGATTTTCCATAGCCTGGTGTGTCTTCCCTTTTAGGCTGTGCAGCCCTGGGAGCGACGCACCTTCCCACTCTCGTACGATCCCAGGACAGAGTGCGAGGACCAATCTGACCCCCAAGACCGGTCGTCACGCTGCACCCGGCGCACGTCGGGCAGTAAATCCTCC